GGGACCTCGGAATTCGATTCCGGCCATACGCCCAAGTCCCATATTTTCCTACGGACCCTCCGGGACAGTCAAATCACGGTTCCGGATCCGTTTACCCAAAACGTTGACCGAAGTCAAATTAATTCATTTTATAGTCAAAATTTATCATTTTTCACATTTAGGCTTTCCGGCTACGCGCCCGGACTGCGCACGCAAGTCGAGGTGATGCTAAGAGAGGGTTTTAAGGTCTCGGAACGTAGAATTTATTTAAACAAGTGATGAATGCAATCACAGTAATTTATTTAAAATAAATATAAAATATTTTTCTCCTGGTTACCGATCAACTTTGGTCGCTTTTTTGGACCGACTAAATTTGGTCGCTAATTACCGGATTTCTAGTAGTATAGCAGTGATATACCATATCTGAGAGCTAGGAACAAAAAAAATTCAAGGAAGAACGGTAAATAGAGCAGAGGTAGTTACACAAATTAAGAGGGAAGTTATAGAAAGGGTAGAGTTACTTCAAAAGTCTAAGAAAGCACAAAAATGTAGGAGTTTAGTTGGACAAATTATCTGTATTTAGTTGATTTTCTGTTTTGTTGGAGGCTTGAAAGTCGGTGGTCAGATTTTGCTCTATAAGTGTAATTTTTTGGTGTTGTCAATGGTAATATTCACATTGAAAAAAAAAAAAAAAAAGTTGGCTACTACTACTTTATTTGTCGAATAATGTACAGGGTCGTTATTTTTCACCTGTCTAGATTAAAATCCTAATCAAATAGTTTCCCAATTCTTCTCGCTTTTAGGAGTTTTGCCCCTTCACTCAACTTACCATGCACAGTCTCCATTAACGTTTGCCACAATCTCTTCTGCAAAACAAAATATAAAAGAAATAATGCATGGAAAGCTTTTTGCAATTATGAGAGCGCTGAGAAAAATTCTGTCGGTTGAATGAACTAGTTACCATATAGGGTCCAAGATTGCTTCGTCGAATAGGACGGGAAAAGGAAGAAAAAACACTCAACCAATACTATTAAAAACACGGTGAAAAGCGACCAAAATAATCGACCGAGGGTGGTCGATTAGTTAAGAAAACCGACCAAAAGCCGACCGAAATGCGTAGTCAGTAACTGGTTGGTCGCTAAGGCATATCCGACTGAGACGGTCGATAAATTCCGACCGTTTGTGGTCGATAAATTATGTTGTTTTTAATTAGACAAAGCTTGTGCATTAATTAATTGACTAAAGGTGTGAGAAGCATGCATGGAGTTATGTGAGGAAACAATACAATGGGGCAGGCTAGTAAAGCATTTGCTTTAGGCTCCCAAAATTTTGGGGCCCCAAAAATAATTGTGAATTTTTAACTTATTTTTGCTTAGACAATATTAAAGTTTATACAAACTCCTTATAAAAGTAGAAATAAAGACTGTCTACTTTTAATAATAAAAATATTTTAGAACTTTGAATTAAAATACTCAAATCTTCATACTGGTAAATAATATTTTTTACAATAAGATCCATGGTAACACGTTGTAAATATGTTGCTAACATCTTAGTAACTTGAATTTTCTTACCAATATAAATATTAGTACTACGTATTATATTTTGTAAGATAACTAAATTACAGACAAAAAGAAAGGAAAAAACCAAAGTAAATATTAGTATTACATTTTGTAAGTTAACTACAATATAAATAAAACAAAAAAGAAAAAAAGTCCCATTGTTAAAATTTGACTTTAGGCCACGAATTTTATTGAGACGTCATTGCGTGAGTATGAGAAGTACGATGGCTGCCATAGTTGAAGCTCCAACCCAAGGACTACTAAAATAATTACGCTTCAAACTTGCCTTCGTTCGGTTTCATGGGTTTTCACAATGTTGAACTAACTTTATGCATTCTTGTTTGCAATAGAACTCATCTGAAAAGGACACCCCTTTCCCGATTTTGTTGAAGAGGCTAGCCACTTCTTTGTTCTCTCCTATATATTGTTCCTGATGATTCCTTTTAGGCGAAGCAAACTTACATCTTTCTCCGAGTCAATAAGATAATCCATGAAAGTTGCAAAATCACTGAAATATGTTGGATGTACATCAGATTATTGTTGCTCATACTATAAGATTTCGCATGAGAGTCTCCGTATTATCATCCACTTCAAAACAAGGAATTTCCATTAACCCATTCTCAAATGTGACATCAAATAAACTTGTGTTATATCTAAGGTCGTCTTCGTCTAACCTTCTATAAATATATCCGACTTTTACGAAGCTAGCTCCAGCTTCCGAAAGCTCTATTGCATTTGGCATGACCTTTAGATGGTCCTTATCTCTTGGCATATCTTTCATCTTTGAAGAGTGGCACGATATGTGTACTATTTGAAGTAAATGTTTGATTTCTGTTGTGTTACCTTCACTCTCATTAAAGGATGCAGGGGTCATCTTTGGTAAGAAAGGAAGAAAGGTCTTCTTCACCATATTTATGAATGGTATTTGATGGTTTGTCGTCGTGTCATGAAGTTTGGTCAGGACAAAAAAAGGAAGTTTGTTTTCTATTAACAACAAATCTTGACGTACAATACCTCTCATGCAACCTGCCTTGATAATTATGTCTTCTCCGTTTGGCTTTATCCTACTACGCTCTCGAATATACTCAACCACAAAACATCCATCAAGCAACAATATTTCTGAAAATTTCTCAACAATATCACTGCCAAGGTCGTCATCCCCTATATCATCATAACACTTAAGTGCTTCATCTTTTAGTTTCTCCATTTCACTAATGTAACTTTCACATTAATCTCCGTTTTTCGTTTGAGAAACCGTTGTAGGTACAACAACTTGTACTTCTCCATGGACCGAAGTTGAGGACTTTTGATATGGTAAGGACCAGTGGAGATCATTTTTGGGGTATAAGCATCTGGATTTGAATCACGTAACCCCACATTTACTTTGAATATGGTACATGATTTGGTAGACGAATTTTTCAAATCCTTAATTCTTTTATCAAAGATATGTTTTGCGGATTTATTGGTATTCAACGCTTGACCATACGTAGTTTTCTTTTATCTCAATTAAATGATCCACTTTCTTCCCTTCTTCTATCTGTAATTAGTGGAAAGGAGTCGGTCACATTTTATTTTTCTTTCGCATTTTCTTTACATAAAGTGTCACTAAATAATGATCAGACAGAACAAAACTATATTAAGACTGAAAATTACCTCTGTTTCATTCAGAAAAAGACAGAAGTCTTTCCAAAATAAATAAATTTAATTAACTAAATATCAAGCAGTGCGTATATGTTCTGTAAAGAAAAGGTATACAGAGAAGGATGTGCCATTTACAGAGAAGTCTCTCTCACACTCAGGGGCGGATGTAGTTTGTTATCAATGGGTTCAATGAACTCATAACTTTCGACGCGAAGTAAAATTTCATTAAAATTGCAAAAATAATAGATATGAATCCATAACTTTAAAATATAATGGATTTAATGACAAAACCCTTAAAAGTTGAACCCATAGAATTTAAATTTTAGATCCGCCTTTGCTCACACTTTGTGTGCGTGTGTGTGCATGAGAGAGAGATTTACAGAAGTTTGAACAAGTAGTGGAATTTGATGATCCATTTGGGTAATCTCAATATGATGTGCCATTCTTCTTGAAACTGCAACTCCTACAACAGAGAGAGATAGGGAGATGAGCTAATTACTTTAGTCTATCAACCCAAAGTAATTACAATTTGCAGCTGTATTAACTTCTATTCTTTTGCCCCAAAAAAAAAAAAAGAAAAAAAGAAATACAGTACATTTAAAGAAATGGAAACACAAAGGATTGACATGTCATAAAGTGAAAAATAGATAGTGGCGATTTATACAGCTGATTCTAGTTATCTTGGGATTGCAGCGCGTCCGTAATTGTACTTGTTCCTCTAAAAACTAGAAAAAATTACCATTTCTACGAAATGTATATTGTATGAAAAAATTTAATGCTAATTTGCAACAGAAAAGTATTGAGTAGCAAGACGAAACAAAATAACAGAAAAGATTGCTACGAACTGTAACTTGGGAGGTAGCAAATTAAAGAATGAAAGAAAAAAACCTTTCTTTATTCTCAATATATTATATTCCTTTCTTTGACTCGCTAAACTTCCCTGCAGCTACATTAATACTTATAAAATAATTGCAAAAATGTGAGATAACATGGGTAAAGAATGTAACGATTCAACCACTTGTTTTGAGCCTGTTCCCACTTTATGTTTTGAGCATGTTTATGATATTATTATTTGTGACTTGCATTGTTGGGATGATTTTGGTTGAGACGCAAGGTGCTCGGGGGTGTTTCGGAGCACTTGAAAGTTAAAACAAATTGCTGGTAATTTTGTTATTGTATATAGGGTGGTAATTAATATTATAGAACCGTAATGAAAGGTCTTTGGAATTATTTCTATATTAAATTATTAATGCCTAATGGTAGAAATGAGTTTTGACTATAAATGGCTTTTGGCATATATGACATAATTTCATACAAGTATTATCCTAAAGTCAAAGGACATGAGCTGCCTTTCACATTACTAATTTTTTTTTTTAATAGAAGAGGGATGGTGGTCATATTCTTTTACATAAACTGGCTCTAATTAATTGCATTAGACGTGCTGCCTTGATCACATTACGAATTTTCAATGAATTAGCATTATTTTATTACATGAACGGAACTAGCTCTGGTTGCAATGGATCAACTGCATTTTTTTTAAAACCACTCCCAAATTAGGAGGATCTATAGTGTTTTCACCCGTGGCGGACCCAGATTTTTCATCAAGCGAATTCAATAGATGAAGAAGTAATGCATAAAGAAATTGAAAAAATAAATTATTATTAATTGAAAAAATAATCTAACATATTATTCCAACTGTACTCTACGAGTTTTCATTTCATGAAACCTATTCATAATTGTTTCATCAGAAACACTATTAAACATTTCTCTTTCTACATAAGGTACCAAACAACCACTCATAAATTTATCATTCATTCGATTTCACAATTCACTCTTGATCAACTTCATTGTGGAAAAAGTTCTTTCAACTGTAGCAGTGGCAACTGGCAGGAGCAACGCAAATTTCACTAGGCGAAACACAAATGGATAATTCAAATGCTTCTTTGTCTTAACTAGCTTTTCAGAAAGATCACTAAGTCCTTTTAAATTAGAGAACCTTTCATCAACATCACGGATATTAACGATATAAGTCGCAAGCTGATTCTCAAGAGTAATCATAATATTTTCATCAAAATCATCAGGATATAATTCAGTCACTCTCAGTATCTTCTTGATGTCAAAACTAGAAAATGAGTCAACTGGATTCAAGCAAGCGACTCCCATAAGCAAATATGTTGTCTCCTCATTAAAACACTCCTTGAGTTCATGAAGTTGCCAATCAATAATCTTAATAAACACATTAACACGATAGTGATGTGAAATGGTATGCTCTGCAACTTTGAGTTGAGATCTTCCAGAGTTAACATAAACTCATCAAAATTAGGTATCACTATGTCATGCTTGATACAAAATGCAGACACCTTATCAATAAGTAGATCCCATCCTTCATCCCTTAGCCTTTGCAATCGTTTTCTTGCCACATCAACAAGTAGAACAACATTTGTAATATCCTGTTCTTTCTTTTGTAAGGATGCATTAAGCTCATTTGTGATCACCAAAACATCTCTCATTAAACATGAAAGGAACCTCAAATGTTTGACATGTTCTAAGATATCCTGTTTCCTTAGCTCTTTCTTCTCAAGACCGAGCATCAATAACGATAGTATCTAGAACATCAATAATAGAGCCAAACATATTAATAAAGTTCTTAAAAGATTTATAGTGCGACCCCCAACGAGTATCAGCAGCTCTAGCTAGACCAAGTTCTTGATTTAAGCCCTTGCCAGTATCAATTTCTCCCATATCTAATAGAATAAGCTGATCTACTTTCTTTTTGAATCAAAGTTTTAAGGCCACTTAGATCCCCTTGCATATTTGCTTGCTCCATCATAGCATTGTCCACGTACATAAGATAAACTCAAAGAATGCTGAGCAAGGTAATTAACAATTGCTTCCTTTAAATATAAAGAACCAGTGTCACGAACATGTACGATCCCAATAAACCGCACCACCATAGATCCCATTCTATCAACATAACACAAGACAATAGCCATTTGTACTTTGCGTGAAATGTCACAAGATTCATCCACTAACAATGCAAAATTGTCACCATTTAGATCCTCTATAATAGCTTTAATTGTCTCAAGCTTACATGCAGTGATAATATCTTTTTGAATTTTATGAGAAGTCAACTTATCATTTTTTGGAGCCTTTTCCAACACAAGATCACATATTTTATCACACCTTTTTGCATACCACTTAAGGATTTCAAGAAATTTACCTTTGTTTAATGATGATTCATCTTTACGATGTCAGCGGAATGCTAATCCTTGATTCAGAAGGAGTGTCACCACCTCAATTGAAGCCTTTAAATGAAGTCGGTGTTCGAGCTTTGTTTGAGTGGATTGCCTATCAAATGCATTTTGAATTGACTGTTTCTGTTGCATTAGATCTTCACATTTTTTCTTTGCTTGGTTATGAATGCTGCTCAGCCCTCCAATATGCATGTCTAATCTTTTCTTTTTATGCCAACTTTTAAGTCCTATACTCAAAAATACATCAACTCCACCTTGATGAATGCTTTCATCTTGAAATAAATAACAACACAAACTTTGATGTTGCATCTTCTATCATACTATACTCTAACCAATCATGATATTGATCAAACTATTTGGGATTAAAACGATGCGTTAAACAGAAAAAATCTCTTTTAGGAAACTTGTGATTTCGAGGTTGGTAAGGACCTCTTTGAAGGTATGCTCTTCTAATTTCATCACGCTCATTTGGATGATAGTCCCTAATAGATATTCTTTCCTTTGGATCAGCCTTTAAAGAGTCCAGATCAACTCCTTGCCTTTGTTTTTTAGATGAAGGAGGTTGTTCTTCTAATCGGTTCGGATTTTCTTCTCCTGGAGGAGCATTTTAACGGGAAGAACTTGATTGCGGCAACTTAGAAGATACTGGAGTGAAATATCGCTTCATTGAATTTTGAAACTGGATTACCAAATTAAATTTCTAATTAGAACAATAATTTAATAAGTATATTTAAACTTATGTTTCAACTAGCATCACAAACAAGAATAATCTTAAAGTCAATTCACAAAATAATGATGGTGATTGGTGCCAATTCCCAAATTACAAGAGAGAAGAAATACCCAAACCCAACTGTAATTACCAATGATTTTAAGAGGTGCAAATTTTTCTTATTTGAAGAAATCACAATTCACACACAACCATGCTACTTTTATAATCAGATATAATTAGATACATTATACAAAAAGTAGAGAATAAAGAAAAACCTGATTGGTGACTTTGCGGATGGCGCGAGAGGTGGATTCTAGCGAGATGACAATGGGCAAACAAAAGCGAGGCTACGGCCGATGGTGGAGACCTTGAGGTTTGAATGTTTTACGGGTGAAAGTTTTTAACCAAGAGAAGACTATTCAATATTTAATATGTAGTTTTTTTTCCTAATGAATAAAGAAAGCTTTTACCGGAGAAAAAGTAAAAAAGCTTATACACAGAGGAAACGTTGTTGGCCAGTTTCGAACTTGGGATCCTTGGAAAATAATGAACCCGCTATGCCAGAGAGCTGGGCGCTCTCTTTCTGTCAAAGTGGATTCAAAATCTTACTTATCCACTTATTTTCTCAAAGAAAAATGAGATATACCTATATAAACAGTATAATTTTTCGGCGAAGCGGATTCATATGAACCCGTTTGATCCCATGTAGGTCCGCCCCTAGTTTTCACACTTCCTCTTCAGCGTGACTTGAAATCAGGATCTAACGGTCGTGGGTGGATATGTTTTTACCAACTGAGCAAGCCTCATCAATTGCAGCTAATTTCACATTATAGGTACTAATCTATAGTGAACAGGTGGTGGTACTATCTAAGTACATAAATAGGCTTGGGTAATTATGTGACTAACATAGTAAAAATTCTCATAACTTAACAAAAGCATTGACATACACAATGAATTATATTAGCTATAAATTAAAATCATCTTGATTTGTACTTACAAGTTTTTGATCTTTCATTGAGGAAAATTTGAAACTGTACATATTTTGGACTATATTTATAATGTCATAGGTCATCGAGCTTGTGAGATAGCTAGCCACATTTACCATGTTCAAGATTATTTGATGATTTAAGAATCGCATAAACCAAAACTCAATCTTATTTTCTATAGCTAATTGCAAGTACTTCTGTGATGATTTCTTCACATTCTCACTTACTTGCTTTGTCACTACAGAAGGCAATTTTCTCGGAAGAAATAAAGAGTGAAGGCCTGCAAAATTAGAATTTGAAGTTTTTGGGTCTAGAAATCTAGTCTGTTTAACTTAATGGGTTCTAAATTAATAATTGCAGATATTCAATTAATTTCTTAAGACAAAAATAGAGTTTAGATTAAAGTTATTGGGTTCAACCAAACCCGTAACCTATGTTCTAGCTCCGCCCCTCCCTGCAATTGGACCTCTGAGTTAGGGTAAGTAAGCCGATTAGGAATATAGCGTGGCTCGCGGGAGTCAACTCTTGAGGTGTGGATGTTACACTAATGTACTCAATCTATGAGGAATATTCTTGGTGTGACGAATTAGGGAAGTCGCTCAGGGAAGTTAGGCCTCTGTAGAGTGTGGTTTGATTGCTCAAGGACGAGCAAAGGTTTAAGTGTGGGATGTTGATAGTAGATGATAACTATGCAATTTAGATACTATTTACACTCTAATTTGGGTGCACTTTATCAATGTTTGAATGTAAAAGATAACAAAATAATCTAATTAAGAGTTTTACATTTTGCAGGAGCCATTCCGAGCTAGGAGAAAGCTAAAGAGTGTTTTGGAGTCAATATGGCCAATCAGAGGATAGCACGGTCGAAAAGGAGAAAGAAGATCAAGTGCCAGCTCCGCAGTCGCGAACAGAACAATTGCCAAATCCGAGGTCGCAGACGGGTTGACGGGAGCTAAGAACCCAGGGTCAATTATGTAATATCGAGGATGACTAACCTAAACCTATATGAAGCCTAATTCGTCCAAAAAAGAAGAGAGTTATTTTTAGAGAGATTTGAAGCAAGAACACGGAAGAAAGACAGAGAATTTCCTTAGAGTTTTTATATTCTTCTTTTTAATTCCATTGTTGATTATGACTTTATATAGTGAATTTTTATCTCTTAGTATGAGTAGCTAAACCCGTCATCTAGGGTTGATGGAACCAATTGTTGGATTAAGTCTTGACTCTGTTTTGATATAATTGAGCCATTTTTACTTTATGATTGTTCAACTACATGTTGTCTTGTGATTAATTGAAAGGGCCCTTGATTAATCGTGTCTAGTTATCTTATGTTTCTTGAGAAAGAACACTTGGTTAGATTATTGTTGAACAATACCACTTTCGGGTAAGTTAAGAGATTAATTACTTAAATTTAAAATCAGGGTTAGAGATAACGAAGCTTTGGTGGGATAACTCTGAGTTGCATAAATTGTTAACTAGAGTAGTTCGAGAGAATGCTTCTAGTAAATTATCATAATTGATCGAGAGATAATTGCGGTAACCCATGACTCATATTTCTTATAGAGTGTTACGGCGAGATTATAGCTAACGTGTCAGGAATTAATCCGATAATTGGGGAGATCAATAACCCTAGACCATTTTACCATTGAATTCAACTCTATTCTAGATTATTGCTAGTTTTATTGTTATTTTTCCTTAGTTAACTAAATTCTACTCATTATCCAATAAAAATCTTGCATCCGGGGATTGTTTGAGCTATTCATTAGCAGTGTTAAAAGTTATAGTAAATAGGTTAGTTTTCTGTGGGATTCGACTCCGGACTTGAACCAGATTATATTTACAGAGATCACTTAGTCCTTTTTATAAGGCATAGTTGGGCGTGATGAAATTTTGTCTCCTTTGCCGGGGAACTAACAGTGTTATTTATTGCAACTTGGAAGAATTGCTAGGATTATTAGTTTAGATCAATTTTCCGTGGTGTTAAAAATATTTCCATTGAAATTCTCACGTTTGAACTCTTGTGTGACTCAAGTGCATGCCTAGAAGCTCTTTGAGAACTGATGAACTCTTTGAAGGACTCTCAGATCCCGAGAAAGCATTCTGGACATTGAACTGGGCTAATAAGAAGAGCAAACAGCTAGAACAAAACGAACAAATTGAAACTGAAATGGGTGACGTAGACAACATGAATGATCGAGATGACCCAAACGTCAGAGTGGTAGCACCTCTTATTCCGGAAGTTGCTCTTTATGATTGGGCGCAACCAACTGCTGATAACTTAGCCACAACAATTTCGGTTCCTAAGATACAAGCGGAGACATTCCAGATTACCAACAATATGGTGCACTTGTTTCAGAATAAAGGGCTATTCTCTAGGTCATGCATCGAAAACCCACAACAACATCTGAAGAGCTTTCTATCGATATGTGTCACTCACAGACAACCAAATGTGACTCCTGAAGCAATCAAATAATTATTGTTCCCATTCTCAGTGACTGAGGAGGCTCAAACTTGGCTGAATTCGCTCCCAATAAACTCCATTGCTACTTGGGAGGAACTAGTCAAGCAGTTCTTAAACAAGTTTTATCCACCCAACAAAACTGCGAGGCAGATTGATGAGATATTGCAATTCAGGCAGAAACTGACTGAGACTTTTCAAGAAACCTGGGAGAGGTTTAAGAGTATGTTGGTGAAGTGTCCTCACCATGGCATTCCAGATCAGATGCTGGGACAGAGATTCTATATGAGTTTGGCTGACAGTCTGAAGGCCAATGTAGATGCTTCTACCGAGGGCGCATTCTTGAGAAAAGCCTTCACAGAGTGTAAGAGTCTTTGTGACAAGATGTCTCAAAATTCAGGCTGGATGATGAGAGACACAACACTCACTCCAATAGTACATTCTTTCGCTCTTGACCCAAACAACACAAATGTAGAAAACATAGCCACTCTTATGACCTAGATGAGCTTACTGACAAAGAAAATCGATGAGATGGGTACGAAACAGGTGCACCTGTTGATACCACAAATGGAGGCTTATGCACTCC